TGTCACAGCGCCCACAGAATCCTCCCGGACCCAGCTGCCATGGCCGGCTGAGGGAGGGCTGCCGAGGAGCACACAGGCCTTGAGCCTCCTTGGGCTCTGCTGTCCTCCCCGAGGTGCTCCAGGGTCGTCCAGACCTCCAGCCCCTCCCCCTCCTGATCTTTGTCAACCCTCCCACTTGGGAATGAACCCCCCTTTCTAGCCTCCTCCCCACGCCCCACCCACCAGGAATCCTGGCACCTCTTCCTCTGACCAGGAAGCCACCTCTAAGCCCCAAGTTTACACAACTTCTTCCGGGCCCATTGTCCCGTGGGTCCCCACAGATGAGAATGTCCTCAGACCTGGGGCATGTCTCCACCCCCCTCCCACAGAGGGAGAGCCGTTTGTTGGCCTGACATCCCCGGGGTGTTCATCGTGCCCACTGCCTTTGAACCCCATGAAGGAGCCTTCTCTGCTCCTGCCCTCTGCGGCCCAACTGAGGGCCCCTGGGGGCTGCCGGGGTGGGGTGGGGTGGGGGGGGGCAGGCCAGAGTCAGCTTCCCAGTGGTTCTACAGACGCCTGGAGGCTGTTGACCTCAACGCTGTTGGACGCGTGCCCTCGAGGGTCCAGTCTGTGCCAATTCCACCTCCACCGCCAGCACCAAATGCCCAGGTCAAAGGGCAGAGAGCACAGAAGTCTTTGGGAGAGCTGCGACCATTCTTCTCCTCTCTGGGGTAAATGACCATTTAAAACAGCTGCGCTGTGGGGGGCTGGCGTGGGTGCGGGGAGAGAAGCCCAGGGCAGCTGGGAAGGAAAAGTGGTCCCTCCAGGGTTTTAAAGAATTTGAAGGAAGACAAAGCAGGTACATAAGCAAATGTGGCAAAGAAAGCTGATGGTGCCCAGCTATCAAAAGATATAGCGTCTGCGGTCTTAAAGGTAAACAAGTGGCCATCTAGCTGAGAAGCAACAAAGTCCACATGGAAGAAGCACACCAGCCTGTGTGATCACGAGATGTCAAAGAGATCAGGTATCAGGCATCATCAGAAAAAAAATCTTACCTTAGTTAATGAGGTGGGGAGTGCGGAGTGGAGACCCAAAGCCCATCTGTAGGGAACTGGACATCCCCTTACAGAAGGGTCTCGGGGAGGAGATGAGCCAGTCAGGGTGCAGTGTAGCAATGATGAAATATACAACTTTCCTCTAGTTCCTAAATGTTCCCTCCCTCCCAGTCCCCCCACTATCATGATCCCAATTCTACCTTGCAAATCTGGCTAGACCAGGGGATGCACACTGGTACAGATAGGAACTGGAAACACAGGGAATCCAGGGCGGATGATCCCTTCAGGACCAGTGGTGAGAGTGGCAATACCAGGATGGTGGAGGGAGGGTGGGGTAGGAAGGGGGAACCGATTACAGGGATCTACATATAACCTCCTCCCTGGGAGACAGACAACAGAAAGTGGGTGAAGGGAGACTCCGGACAGTGTAAGACATGACAAAATAATTTATAAATTATCAAGGGTTCATGAGGGAGGGGGGAGTGGGGAAATGAGGAGCTGATGCCAGGAGCTTAAGTGGAGAATAAGTGTTTTGAGAATGATGAGGGCAACAAATGTACAAATGTGCTTTACACAACGGATGCATGTATGGATTGTGATAAGAGTTGTATGAGCTCCCAAAGTCAGCAGTTCAAAACCACTCCTGAGGAGACAGACGGGCTTCCTACTCCCATGCACGGTTAGAGTCTCAGGCACTCAGAGGCCGTTCTACCCTGTCCTAGAGGGTGGTTATGAGTTGGCCTGGCAGTGAGAGGAGGGGGTGATTAAGCCCCCACTCCGTGTGCCCACCCTCCTTCTTGAGTTGACCCAGGCAGCCTTTTAAAAAGCCATTGCCAGGGAGTCAGTGCGACTCCACTGGGCAGAGAGCTGGGCTTCCGAGGGGGCAAAAAGCCTCCTCTTCCTTCCGCAAGCTGATATTTTAACAGTTACCATGTTACAGGTTTAAAAACAAAACAAAAAAGATCTGTATTTGGGAAACTGGGATCCATCACCGCCCCGGGACGGCCCCCGAGACTCCCCACCCAGGAGGAAGTAGTCGGGAACCTGTCCTTGTTGGAGGAGACTGTTCTAGGCTGGACCACAGCCCCAGGCCATGGTCAAGTGAGGGACCGGAGGGAAGGGTGGGTTCTGCTTCCCCCTGCTGGCCACCGTCGGACCAGCACCCTACGGAGCCTTGTCCCTAGCCGCCCCGCCTCCAGCATGGTCAGTCTGACTGGAAGTGCAGGGCTGTCCCCGGGCCGGTCCCCATTTCCAGTGGTTTCTCTGAAACAGGGACCAGCTCATAGGAAGTGTCCAGGCAGCGCCAAGTGGCTTTGGAGACCTGAGAGGAGAGGCTGGCCAGTGAGAGCGTCCTGAGACCCAAGGGGACACAGCCAGCCTTGGCCTGAGCTCCCAGACCAACCCCAAGCCCTCCCGTGTGGCTCCACTCACTGGCCTCCTCCGAGCCTATCAGGTCACCTCCCTGGATCGTTGACCTCTTTGTCGCTTGTTCAGGGTGGCCAGACCTTAATCACAGGCCAGCCGGGGGCAGGGGTGTGAGTCCTGTCCTCTGTGCCCCTGGAGAGCGGCTGCACTCCACCCTGAAGCAAGAAGTTTTTCTCCTGCTGGCCTGAGCGTGCCTCCCGGAGCAGCGGTTCTCAACGTGTGGGTCGCGACCCCTTTGGGGGTCGAACCTGATTCATAAAAGTAGCAAATTGACCGTGATGAAGTAACCACGAGAATAATGTGATGGTTGGGGGTCCCCGCCCCATGAGGAACTGTCTGAAAGAGTTGCGGCAGGAGAACCGCTGCTCTAGTGGGCGGTGGAGGGGCGAGGCCAGGGTGGGAAGCAGCTTGGCTGCCTCCGGTGCTCGCCTTACGTGATAGAGGACGGAGAAATAAAGGGGGTCCGAGACTGCGAGGGACAGGCCTGGAGGGACCCTGCCAGGCTGCGAAAGCCAGGCTGCAGGGCTGAGTCCCTGGGCCTCTCCAGAAGCCCACAGTACCTGGGACAGCCTGTGAGGCACTGAAAAGCCCCAACAAGGACCAAGTCAGGGCACCGTCAAAGCGGGCACCGGGACACGGACACTTTCAGTTGTCACCTAATGTCACCCACAAGCTCAGGAAGCAACAGCAGTGACCGCCCTGCTTCACGTGGAGAAAGCGGGGTTCCCAGGAGCTGTGGCAGACAGGGATCTTGGTGGCCGAGCTGAGGCCTGCACTGGCAATTCCCCGCTCCGGGCAGTAGGGTGCGGGGGAGCGAGGGTCCCAGGGAGCCCTGGTGATGGAGTGGTTACACAATGGGGTGGGATCCACACGGTCACAGTTCGAAACCCCGAACAGCTCCAAGGGAGACAGACTGAGCTTTCTACTCCGTAAAGAGTTGCTCTCGGAAACCCACAGGGGCTCGCTGAGCGTAGACAGCCAGAGAGGGAGCTGGCAGGACGAGGGTGGGTGGGGTGTATGTCACTCTCCTCAGCTGCCAAGTGCTCTGCCCGCTGGAGGAATGCAGGCTGGCTCAGAACCACCTGCGGCAGAGGGTAGAAGCCTGCGGGCTTCTGGGACAGGAACTCCTCTCTCTCCTGCCAGTTTGGAGGGATGTGGACTAAGGCTCAGACCTCGGGGTGTCTCACTGTCCTTGTGTGGAAGAGCAGGGAGCCAGCGCTTCCTGGACTAGGCAGCCAACTGCGAGGGGACAAGGCGTGGTTCCTCCTGAGGACCCTCCTTGGCCATCTCAAGGGGTCCTGGGATGGAGTCACAGATTCGAAGGCCCCCCCAACGAGGGGGTTGTTCCCAAGTTCCCTCCGCTCCTCACCTGGGATGCCTCAGTGGGGGCGGGGGAAGCGGTACTCGGCCCAAGACTCACGGGGACAGGGAGGTGGTCTGCAGGTGGGGACTCGGCTTCGGCCCGGATGGAGCCCCCCATGACCCTGGCATGGGGGGCATGGGACCAAGTCAGCACCTTGATCCTGGTGCTCAGTTGGATAAAAGGAAGGAAAGGGGGTTCCCCTGGGAAGTTTGGCCAGGAAGGTAGCCCTGCTGACCCCTCAGACTAGGAGGGGGTGGCCATACCTGTTCAAACCTGTTACTGTGGCAGGAATGAGTGGCATGGCCGCCGTCAGAGAAAGAGGCTCTGTGCCGCATGACCCAAGCTGTTGGGGCTCCTTCTCCACCCCAGGATGGGGTGTGTGGGCCATCAGCTTCAGCCTCTCTTGTGGCCTACTGTCCCTCACCTTCCCAGGGATCTTAGCGATGAAGATTGTGTGCTTCCTGCAGGCCAGACTGGAAACCGCCCAGCCACCCTGCCTGTGGGTCTGATGGGGCCTCTTTTAGAGGCAGGAAACAGAGGCTCTGTCCAGGCCCTCGGAACCAGAGGCTGAGCGCTGCTTCCCACCCTGGTGGTCCAGCAGGTCTGCTCTCTGGGCCACCCACAGCAGGAAGGATAAGGATTTTACTCATCCATCTCTGGAAACTTCCATCATGTGACCTGAGCCACAAATGGGGTCCAGGCCGCCAGCCAAGGGCTGCAGCTCTCTGCTCCCTAACTTCCTGTGGGCCCTTGGTGTCAGGACCAGGACCCATGGCAGCAAGCCCCAGACCTGGGCCACTCAGCTCCCTGTGGGGTGCTGGCACCCAGTGGGGTCGGGGCAGCATGCCCAGGCAGACACCAGGTGAGAAGAGGGGCTGGTGTCGCCCCCAGAAGCGGCGGCGTTGAGAGCAGCACAGGGTCCCGAGTGGGAGCGGTCACGGCTCCAGCTGGGTCTGCCATTAGCTCCCACCTTTGCTGCATGGACCCCAAACCCTTATCCTGGACGGAGCTCCTGGAGGAGGAGGTGTGACCCGAGGCCCACTGGCCCCGGCCAGGGCGCCCCAGGGCTCAGTGGGAGTTAACAGAAACCGCCAGGCTGTAACAAGCCTCATCATCTCCCCTCGTAAACCTCCCTGGGTTCGCAGACAAGAGATTCTATGAAGGATGAGTCACAGAAGTTTACGCAAGGCTATTTAGTAAAAACCTGCTTTGTCCCAAAGGGCGAGGGACGGCACAGTGGACGTCAGCTGACAGAGAAGCCGTGGGCTAAGACCGTGTGTGTAAACAGTCCCGAGTGTGAACACGCACACCGGAGCCAGGCCAGCCCGGCAGGTGAGAGAGGCGCCCGGAGCCCACACAGTCCAGGGCAAGGATGGCAGGGCTGGGAGACCCGGGAGAAGTGGCTGGGCCAGGCAGGGCAGCTGCGACAAGATGTGGCAACTGGCTCAAGTGTACACACACACACACACACACACCCTCCCCCTGGTTTGGTTTGGCAAAGTTGCTGTGGTGGAGATAAGCTCCCCTGGAATGTTCATGTCACAAAGGTGTCTGCTGGGTCCCCTTTCCCCTGGGACTGTGAAGCCCTGTGAAGCCGGGCCCTGTCTGCTTCCAACAGGAAGGCCCAGGAAGCATAAGCCCCCCCCCCCCCCACTACCTGGGAAAGCCACCCCCTGGGGCAGGCTCCTCTGGAAGGGGTGGTGGTGTGTGTGTGTGTGTCCAGGAGGGCAGAGTCCAATGGAGGAGCTGACCACCCGCATCACACCTTCTCTCCTAAGTAGCAGAGGCCGGTGGGGTCCTGTGCCTGGAATTCCCGGCGCCGCGGCTCTGCTGTCTAGGGGGCAAGGCATCCCTCGCTCACTGCGCCCGGGAGCAGGCTCCGCTGAGTCAAAGTCCACGCACACAAGAAGGCCGTGGGGGGGTGGGAGGGGGCGTTCCGTGAGGGGAGCCCTTCACTCAGGTTGAGGGGTTTTCCTTGGACCATCGAGTGGGGCGGGGGTGACGTTTCTCACAGGACAGCCCCCCTCCAGCACAGTGACGTCATAAAAGAGGTACTTTTCTCTCCGGTCAACGGAGTTCATGCCAGGGAGACCTGGGGGTCTCTCACCAGTCCCAGCAGAACGGCCAGCAGGAGACACAGTGACCCCCGGGTGCCTGAAGCCATGGTGGCAAGACCAGTCCCCCGAGGAGGCTGTGGGGTCGTCATGACCTCACTCTCTGCTGTGGTTCAGGTGCGGGGGGAGAGGCACAGCCTGGCAATGGCGTGGAAGGCCAGAAGCAACGTGGGTGAAGGTCACCAAAGTCCAGGGCAAAGACCTGCAGATCTTTGGCTACCCATCACCAGAGACCACTGGGTGAGACTGCAGCAGGGACACTGTCCATCTTGAGGGGCACAGAGGAGACGTCTGGGGGGGACGGGGGCAGGGAGGAGGCTGGTCCGAGGATCCGGACGAGCCCACCAGTCACAGGTCCAAGGTCGGGAGAGCTTGGGGCCCAGAGCCATAGGGTGTCCCCAGCTCACCCACACCTTCCACCCTCAGGGACTTCCTGGGCCTGCTGGTGCCCCAGGGAAGGAGGGCAGGGCCCGGGGTCCCCAGAGGCTTCTGCAGGCGGCCGCCTCAGCCTTGCTCCAGGCTGTCGGTGGTCTGCACCACGCTGTAGCTCCCCGGGCCCGAGGAGAGCTGCCGGCTGAAGAAGGACGTGGTGCGCTTGGGCTTCACGCGCTTGATCTCCTTGCCTGCGGGGGACGGAGAAGTGTGCTGAGAAGAAGCCCCCGGGAGGCTGGCCCCTTTCCAGAGCTCCTGCCGTCAGAGACACCCTCTGCGTCACCCTGCCATCTTTCTGAGCCTGCCCCAGCGACAGGGTGGCGACCTCTCATGTGAAGGGAAGCAGGTTCGCACGCGAGGCTGGCTGGCCGTGGGGTCGGGGAAGCTTTGGCTGACTTATTAAAGAGCAGAACAGGCAAACAAAAGACCCCCAACATCTCGGGGGGCTAACGGGAGCCTCCTAGGTTACCATGGGGGGGGGGTGTGGACAAGGAAGGGCGGAGGAAGCGATAGACTGGGAACCTGACAGGTGTCAACGTGAGTGAAGTGGAAGACAGGAATCCGCTCGGGGAAAGGCAAGAACTTGAGTTTGAGAAGTAGTTGGCACTGCTGACTCAAACGCCGAGCGCCCCGATACCCAGAAAACGACTTAAAGAAGAAAGAACCGGGACTTGACCTTGGGCTCCCCTGGGTGGGGGAGCACCGAGTTGATGTTCAAGACGGCGGTGTCATTTGGAGAACGGTATTGGGAATGGGTGCACCACACGCTGTGGGATTGCAGGATGTTTTGCGGCGTGTGTTTAAGAATGACGGGAAGCGCACTGAGCACAGGGGAGAGGGACGTGCTCTGGAAGTGCACGAGGTGACCCCTGCACTCCTCTTCTTGATAGGACGCAATGACGGAACGGCACGACGTGGGGATGAAGTGTTCGTGAAACAGTGAAAGGGAGTAAGTAACAAAGAGAACTTAATTCACAATAAAGAAGACAGCTACACATGCACAAGGCGCACAGTAAAAAGGGTCCCACGCTGAGGAACATACCCCTGGGCACAAGAGGGCAGCGTTCGCCCCCGAGCAAAGCGCGGAAGGGCCGGGCAGGGAAGAAGGGCAAACAGAGATACGGGAACCCGGGAGGAGGCGGGGAGCCGTCTCACCGAGGGGAATGCGGTGTCACAGAAATGGACGTGGGCACGCTGTTGAGCAATGGGAAACGAATCTGCCCTGTGAACGGCCCCTCGGCTGCAGTCCAAGGCTGAAAATGAAAAGATCCTTTCCGGTAGAGGTGAGACGGCAGGCTGACGAGCCCGCGCTCTGGTGGCCCAGCGCGTAGAGCAACGTGGCTGCCAGCCGGGAGTTCAGGTGTTTGAACCCACCAGCCGCTTCGAGGGAGACAGCTGTGGCCCTCTGTGGCCTCGGGCGCCCCACGGAGCGCAGGGTGTAGCTGGTGGATGGAAGTCAGCACCAGCAGTGACTTGGCGCCACCTGCGGGGTTGGCCTGCAATGAGTCTGGATTTGGCTGAGGGCCAGGAAAGGCGCAAAGCTGCTCCCAAAGCAAGTGACATGTGCTGAAAGGGACGAGACGGTGATGAAGAAGCTGCTGCAGAGACGTGTGGGTTCCCAGCGAGGGCAAATTCCCTGAGCACCCTTTAAAAAGGGCACGCAATCGCTGTCAGTGAGACGGTGGTTGGCAGCCCGGGGCTGCCTACAGGCGCACGCCGACCCATGCGTTAGAATGCTAACGCCCACGGTGGGCAAGGAGGGCAGGTACCCGTCTTTACCAGCTGCTTCCCTGTGCCTGTCCAGAGAGGGGCAGCAACAATAAGAGGTCTAACATCGATGGCGAAGCGGGAGGAGAATGACTGGGGGGGTCGATCAAGTACAGTGCAGCCGAGAGAAAGTGCGGAGAGCGGAATGAAGGGAGAACATGATAGCAGGGCAGGAGGAGAGTACAGAGAAATAGAGGAAAGAACTAGGAGGCAAAAGACATTACAGAGGTGTAAATATAGGCATGCACATATGT